GACATCCCATCAGGCAGCCTACGGAGTGACCTACAACGGAGAGATTCCCCCCTTTGGCGAGACGGCTCTCTTCAAGACCCCGATCTCCCACACGAGGCAGATCACGACCACGTCTCTGAAGCGCAAGGGCGAGTCGAGTTTCGTGAAGGGCATCTGGGCCGGGAAGCACAAGGAGAGCGACGACCACTTGTTCCTGACGCCAGCGGGCTGGCACCGCGCGAGAACATGCAGGCGGCTGGAGCCAGCCTTGCGAGCAGATGACAAGCTGATGAAGGCGGTGAAGGCCCTGCCCAGGGACGCGAGGAGCGCTAAGCCGTGCGAGCTACTGCCCAGGATTCAGAGGCCGATGCCCACGATCGTTCTGACGGCGGCGGAGCAGAAGGCGCAGACCGAGGCGCAGGAGGCAGCGCGCGAGGCGGCGCCACCCCAGGGGGCGCCCGAGCAGGGGGCGCGGCCGGCTGCAGCAGCGAGCGCGGAGCCATCGTCGGCACCCGCGGGACCTGGAGCTGGAGCAGCAGCGGCAGCGAGGCCAGAGGAGGAGCACGACGGATGCGGACGTGCCGATGACACCTCGAGGGCAGATCAGACCTGCCGATGCTGAGGACTTCGGTGCACCAGGCAAGCGCGCGAAGCACTTGGGCGCCATCTCGCTCGACGACCCTATCGACTACAGCATCCTGGACAGGATGGGCACATACTGCTACATGACGGTCAGCGGACTGGAGCCCGCGGTGGAACTCAAAGGCAAGCGCGAAGCACCAGAGGTGCTGGCGCACTACGGGGTGCACAGGGACGTCCCGAGGAGCGAGAGCGGCGAGTTCAAGAGGATCAGGGCGCGCTGGGAGCCGCAGATGCGAGGAGGCATCTGCAAGTGGCGATATGTGGCGCAGGAGTTCAAGTGGATGGAGTAGCGGGACGACGTGTTCGCAGCGAGCTCGTCAGCACAGACGAGCAGGCTGGTGGACTTCGTCAGCATCAAGGAGGAGAATCAAGGGACCTTCATCGCAGACTGCGTGAAGGCGCACTACCAGGCGGACCAGGCGGAGAAGGTTTGTGTGGAGCCACCTGCTGGGTATCTGGCGATCTTGGCGGAGATGGGCAAGCCGACCGATATCGTTTGGGCGCTAGACAAGATGCTACTTGGGCAGCGCGCGGCAGGCGCTGGCTGGGTAGACAAGGCGGCGAAGACTCTGAAGGGAGAGGGCTTCGACAGGAGTGAGTGCCAGCCGCAGTTTTACCACCGCAGGGAGAAGAAGATCCTGATCGAGGTGCGCATGGACGACTTCCACGGAGAGGGTCCAATCGGCAACCTGGACGGGGTCCTCAAACGACTGAGGGAGGTGTTCGACCTGAAAGCGACGGGCGTCATCAGGCAGGGACGCCACCCACACTTGAAGCGCGACAGGCTGAGGCTCATGAACGGCAACATCATGCTGAGGCCGAACGTGAAGCATATTGACGACCTGATCTACGTGATGGGCATGGAGAAGGCCAAGCCAGCGAAGGTGCCAAGTTTGACTGAGGAGGACCCGACATGGAGCCCTGAATTGGACGAGATCAAGAGGGCGAAGTTTCGCACAGGAGTTGGGATCGCGCTCTACATCTCGCCCGACAGAGCGGACATCCAGCGGGACTTCAGCTGCTGACCAGGAACCTGAGTCAGCCGACGGAGTTTGACAGGAAGCGACTGGTGAAGCTGGTGAGGTACCTGAAGGGGGCAACGACGTTTGGAGTGCTTTTGGAAAAGCCAACTGGGAGCAAGCCTGGAGAAGTGAAGCTGCAGTTGTGCACAGACACGGACTTTGCGACGTGCAAGGAGACGAGGCGTGCGATGACCTGTGGGATCACAAAGCTGGACGGAGTGCACTTCGCAGCGTTTGCGAGGAGGCAAGGAGTTCAGAGCACATCCTCAGGCGATGCGGAGTTCTACGGCGCGACCTCGGTGGTGATGGACGGCGAGCTAGTGAAGAACATGCTGGAGTGGTTGGGCTACAAGGTGACCTGGGAGCTCGGGATCGACAGCAGCGCCGCGAAGGCGATGATCAACCGCGAGGGCGTCGGCAAGGTGAAGCACCTGGACGTTCGGGCGCTGTGGATCCAGCAGGAGCGGAAGGTCCACGGACTGAACATCAAGAAGGAGAGTGGAACCAAGAACGTGGCCGACCTAGGGACCAAAGCGCACACCACGGAGCGGTTCGAGTACCTGCGAGAGCTTGCTGGCATCATCGACTGCAGCGAGATGGACAAGCACAAGGAGCTGGAGGCATGCTCGGTGACAACGAGCGCCTGGGCTAAGCAAGGGTTGTTGGCGACACTGCTCGCGCAAGGAGCGACGGGTGGTGCGACCAAGTCAAGTGAATGTGCAGTGCGAGATCTCGACCAGAGTGCAGTTCCCCTCTTGGAGGCTGCAAAGCTGCAGGACTGGATCGATGACCACACGACACTGATCATCCTGAGCGCGATGATGATGACATCCGTGGCATGTGCACTGCTCGGGTGTTGGATCTGCAAGAAGTGGGCGACGATGAGCAGCGCCACGAAGCTAACTCTGGTTAGGCATGCGAACGCGCCGAAGCAGAGCAAGGAGTTGAGCAACAAGGTAAGGTTCACGGACAGGCCGACGACGGAGGAGAGGGCGAGTCAATCGCTGTGTACGTACAAGTGGAAGCACACGACGCCGAGGTTCATGGTGCTGCCCGAGGCGAGCCACGGGTGAGAACGAGCTTGCGGCCAATGGCAAGGTGAACGAGATGATGTGCCTCGACGAGGCGCCGTGGGGGCGTGCAGGCGTCAGTGAGTGCACGGCCCCTCCCGAGGCGGCCAGAGTGTAGGCCAGGGCCCAAGGAGGCCCTGGCGCGAGCGTCAGGCCCATAGAGGCCCTAGTGCATGATTTGGGCCCTAAGAGGCCCCCTGTGCAAGGCCCGTGCAGGCCTGGACTGAGTGGAGCGGGACATCCCCGCCGACACTGTTATGGCTCGAGGATGATGTTTCGAGTGAGATCATCATCTCTGCAAGGTAGGTAGGTATGTAGGTATGCATGTATGTATGAATGTATGAATGTATGTTTGTCTGTATGTGTGTATGTGTGTATGTATGTATGTACGTATGTATGTGCATGTATGTATGTATGTACGGGTGTATGGGTGTGTGTATGTATGTATGTGTAGATGCATACATGCATGTATGAATGTATGCATGCATGTATGTATACATGCATGTATGTATGTACGTGTGTATGTATGTATGTGCATATACATATGTGTAGGTGTTCACGTATGCATGTATGTATGTATGTGTGTATGTATGGATGCATGTATGTATGTATGCATGCATGCATGTATGTGTGTATGAATGAATGAATGTACGCACGTATGTACGTATGTATGTAGGTAGGTTGGCATGTATGCATGTATGTATGTATGTTTGAATTTATGTGTGTATGTATGTATGTGTGTATGTATGTATGTGTATGTATGTATGTATGGATGTATGGGTGCATGGGTGTATGTGTGTATGTATGTATGTATAGATGCATACATGCATGTATGAATGTATGCATAGTTGCGTGTATACACACATGCATACGCGTACGTGTTTATGTATGTATGTACATATACATATGTGTGTAGGTATTCACGTATGCATGTATGTACGTATGTACGTGTATGTATGTATGCATGCATGCATGTATGTATGTATGTATGCATATATGAATGAATGTATGCACGTATGTATATATGTAGGTAGGTAGGTATGTCGGTATGTATGTATGTATGTATGTATGAATGTATGTATGTATGCATATATGAATGCATGCAACTCAGCAAATCCCTGTCCGTGAGTGAATTCCAGCAGCTAGCACAGATGTCGGGCAGGAACTCCACGGGGCCCTGCCCTGCTCTGTCGAGCCTCTCGGCGGCAGGCGCGGCGCGCCGACCGCATCCAGACACTCGATAGGACGGGCCAGCATGGATTCCAGAGCGTGGCGCGCCAAGCTCGCCTCGGCAAGCAGAGGGGGCGTCGGAGCCATCGGCGGCGAACTCCGAACCCCACACTTCGCCGATGCACAAGTCGGACGAGTCGATGGGCGGCGAGGGTAGGGCTCGGAATTCGCCGAATGCGCGGCGAAATCTGGACCCTAATCCCCCCCCTCCCATCCGTTCGGGAGAGTAGGGTCCGGATGTCGCCACAGGGCAAATGCGGCGCCGGATCTACGCAGCGGCCGTCGGCCCGAGTTTGGGCGGAGGACGCGAGGCCTCGTTGAAGCCTCTCGCGGGCTATGGGAAGGCCTCTGGAAGAATCTGAAGCGTCTGCAAGGGTCTCCAGGCCGTCCAGGAGGCCTCTTGAGCCTGCCGGCGCTCTCGGGGGCCATCTTGGAGGAACGGGCTCGACACGTCAGCTCGTGCTCCCCCTCTTGCGCCCTCTCGGGGCCGTCGGGGTCACCCTCTTCGTGCTCTTCGGGACCTCGGGGCTATATTGGGGCGATCTCGGGAGCCTCTTGGGCCATTCTGGGCGTTCTTCAGACCGAAAATGGGGAGCACGCGAAGCTCATACTATTTTTCACTTACTTCAACATCGTGGGCCATAGGCATGCAAGACGGCCGAAAGAGGCCCCCACGAGGGGTCCAGGGCAGACCCTGGGACCATCCCAGGCCATGCTGGAAGTGCGTATTGCAAACCATCCCTCTCGAGGCCTCTAAGAGTCACGCGGGCATTTCTGGCAGCGCCCAAGAGCGCCCGCGAATCTGGGCCCCTTGAAAGCATTCACAATGCTACTCGAACGCGAAGCACGGCATAAACATGCGCCTGCGTAGTTCAGCGCTCCGTTGGGCCCCTGGCGTTCCGCGCGCCAGGGAGGGCGGGTAGCGCCGATCAGAATTCCTCGCGGAGCTCCGGACCTTTACGGCTGCGCTCTTACCTTCGAAATATACGCAGGGAGACCGAACGAACCCGAGGTTCCTCAGCCAAGTGCCCTCGGCATTGCGGCGGATACTCTTCAGCGGCTCGTTCTGCGCGATCTATTGGCTGAAGAAGCGCGGGCTGATGCCAGGCCTGACGTTCTCGAACGAGCTGATCTCGCGGGACGAAGGCCTGCACACGGAGTTCGCGTGCCTGCTCTACGGGAAGTTGCAGAACCCCTTGCCAGAGGACGTGATCCACAACATCATCCGCGGCGCGGTGGAGGCCGAGCGCGTCTTCATCTGCGACGCGCTGTCCTGCGACCTCATCGGCATGAACAACGACCTCATGACGCGGTACCCGAATGACAAACTCAGGAGAGGAAGGGGTGCCGATGCCGCCACCCTCTCCTCGGTTTCGCCTTTTCTGGGCCTCCTGGGAGGCCATAGTCGCCACCGCTGGATTCGCTTCGGAGTCTGGCCAGCACTCACCTAGGAGAGGTCCGGGGAGCAGCGGTGTCAGTACCTTCCGGCTTCTCCACCAAATCGGAGCCCTTCAAACAGGATGGTGACCACACCGTGTGGTGAGTCGGTGGGGATTCGGGGTCACCGCACGGTTTTGGGACTCGGGTCGTTCTCCGAGGACGTCTCGGGCGACCAAAACCGTGCGTTGACGGACCGTGCGGTGAGGTCTCTTGGGGTTCCGAGGTCACCGCACGGTCTGTCTTCGCACCGTTTCGGGACTCCAAACAAAATTCCATGAACATGATTTCTCGGAGCCCCGCGCGAGTCTTTCGGATCGGCGTTGGGCCCCCCCGGCGGCGCTTCCAGCGCCGCCCCTGGCACTCTCCGCGCGCCAGGGGGTGCCAGGGTCCAGCGCCGATTCAAGAAATCAGCCGCGCGGACCTCCGAGAAATCTCCCATATGTACTGGAAACCCTGCCCTGGAGGCCGTTGGGCCGCAGCACAGGCACCCAGGGTACACTGAGTGACCCCGCCCCTCGAGGGATCCTGGGCTTCCCTGGGGCGTCCCCACTGTAGAAGTTCCGGACGCCCCAGATCCCAGACTGCTGATTACAGGACGGCCCGAGATGGCCTGCAAAGGTCCCGAAGCTGGCTCCAAGAGAACCCGCAGCCATCTTGGCTCAAGCTCGGACCGAGGCCCCTCGCCCCTCGCCGCCCCTGCGATCCTCCTCCTCCTCCTCCTCCTCCTCCTCCTCCTCCTCCTCCTCCCCCTCCTCCTCCCCCTCCGGCGCTCAAGCTCGGACCGAGGCCACTCGCCCTTCGCCGCCCCTGCGATCCTCCTCCGCCTCCGCCTCCTCCTCCTCGCGCGCGCCCCGCCGCGCGGGCGCCGCCGAAGGAACCCGCCAGGCGAGCCCGGCGCGGGCCGCTCGAGCGGGCGCGGGCGGGCGCGCGGCGCAGGGGCGGCCCGCCGCCCCGCCGCCGCAGCGGTTCCGGGAGGTCCTGGCCGCGGAGCTGGCCGGGCTGCAGGAGATCGGGGGCGGCAAAGAGGGGGGGGGGTGACCAGGGGGGGGGGGGATATCATGGCGTGGGCCATGATATTTTCCCAGATTTCATGGCGCCTCTTCTTATTTCATTACGTCCCTGGCCCCCCCGCTGGGCCGCGCACATGCCGCCGGTCATGATTTGCACCCCCCCCTCTTGGACACCCCCCTCTTGGCCGCTCCCGAGGAGAGGTTGGTGGCCCAGCTGGAGCAGGACCTGGCGGAGGACGCGGCCTGGCGGTCGAGGGTGCTCAGTGTTTCCTCCGGCTCCGTCCACCGCGGACGCCCCGGAGTGCAGCGAGGCCGGGGATGAAGACGCCGAGGCCCCGCGGGCCCGCTCCCCGACCTCGCCCTCCGAGCGCCCGCCCGCCGGGGTGGCCGCCTGGGCCGCTCTCGTCGACAGGCTGTGCAGGACGTGCATGACCGAGGACGGCATCGCGGGCCTCACGCGAAGGATCCCATCGGTGCACCGTGTTGATAGAGGTGATGAGCCGCTGGGGTGATTCCGGGGTGGTGGACGGACAATCCGATGTTCGAGCCGCATGTGATGTGGCGCCTAGGCCTGCGCCAGCCAATATCATCGACATTCGCGGTTTCGCGCGTCAGTGCAGGAGGCTATGGTAGTATATACAGACGACGGGTATGACGCGAAGAGGTCAGGGCACTTGAGCGATGTGTTCACCATCCATCCCGAGAGTCTTGTGCAATTCATTTGGTGTAGTGTTGGCATGTCGCTTCTGCTCTTCGATCCCATTACGATCCCGACAGAATCGGTTGGCCTGTGGACAGTCCCCCCCGCTCGGCTTTTTTTTTTCAACATTTGTTTATGGACCGTGGACATTTCCGTCCAAGCCGTGACAGGCTATCACACTGCGCACCATCTCGAGATGAGGATGACGGTGATAGCAAGGACTTTCTGCCACAACTTGGTTCCCCTTGGACTTGGCCATACTGCTTCTTGACGTCGCCTTCGCGATCTGGCGCTTCGGCTACTCTGCGCGGACCGTCCGGCTCCCGAGGCTGCTACGCCTCGTCCGCCTCGCCCGCTTGCACACGTGCCTACACGGCCTACGTGCTGGCGATGGGCGCGCTCAAGTACTACCAGGAGCAGAAGCGGAAGGCCACGTCCGTGATGCCCTGGCAGTGGGTTTCCGAGGCCTGTCTCTGGGTGCAGTGGAGGCACCGGGGATCGCTGGTGGCCAGGTCGTGCTGCTCCATGGTGGAGCTTGATGCCGACAAGTTCCTGCAGACCGTCCTCAAGTCCGGTGGCGACCTGGACCGTTGCCTCCGTACCGTCGCGGTGCTATATGCTCACACGATCGAGCAGTCGGCGGAGAAGAACAGGAGGCTGACAGACCTTGACCTCGACCTTGAGGATACCAACGGCATCCACTGGAGGGCGCTCAAGATCTGTAACTTAGGAATTCCATCACGTCCAACAGTTCTGTGTGGGCCCAGCTCGAAGTCTAGCGGGTTCATCGACTTCTCCCTGATGATTCGCAGAATCTCAATGATGATTGATAAAGACGAGGTGTAGCGCGCTCCGCATTGTGCTATGATTCACGACGTGGGCCACGACGGGGATTTGCTGGTCGTGGATGCTCACTCTTAGGCTTGTCGATGGGACGCAGGGGACATTTGATGCGGCGGTGCTGGGGTCTCGTGGCAGGTGTCGCGGAAGCCTTTGGGAGGCAGTGTTTAAGCTTCTTGAGGCTTCGTCAGGGCCGTTTGGGTGCCCTGGGGGCCTGATTTTGGGCTTCTCGGGGGCTTCTTGGGACTTCTGGGTGCTTTTTGGGAGCCTCCTGGCGGTCTCGGAGGGGCCCCTGGGGTCGGAAAGCTTCAAATGTCATTTCGAGTTCCCTCTCTGGGGGCGTCTTGGGCCGTCTTGGAGCCCCCTCTTGGGCCGTTTTGGAGCCCTCTTGGGCCCTCTTGGGCGCATCTTGGGAGCATGTTGGGTCATCTTGGGGCGATCTTGGGAAGCTCTTGGGCAGTCCTGGACGCTGTGAACCTCCGAACGTCGTCTATGTCAGAAATGCTCGTTTTCCCAAGGAAATGACACGAGTTTTGCTTGTTGGGGCACTCTTGGAGGACCTCTTGAGGCTCTCTTGAAACATCTCGGCGGCGTCTAGGGCCGTCTGGAGATCCTCATGGGCGTCTTGGAGCAATCTTTCGGCGACTCGGGGCCCCTTGACCGTCTCGGGGGTGTCTCGGAGCCGTCTTGGCGCGTTCCTGGAGCGCTGTGGGAGGCCTGGAAGCCAGCGCCGAGGAGGAAAACCATCTCTGAGCCGACCTTGCCCGGACCTGGTCGGGGCACTTTTCGTCCGGAAGCCCCCAAAAGCCGCCTCGCGCGCGCGAACTAGAGTATTGTTAACCAGTTGCCGGAGATCTCAGCACGCCTTTGGCCAGGTGGGCCGACGAATTAGCAGGGCGACCCTGCCAAATCGAGGGTACCTTGTGTCCTGTGTCGCGACCCTTGCCCTCGGCTTTCCTGTGGCACTGTGGCCCTCGGAAGAGCCTGGTGTCCTCTCGAATGTCCTCTCCAGTCGGACCCGAGTGTAATCCCAGCACCACCCGCAGCGGCCCCGCCCCCGCGGCCGCGGCCGCGCGCCCCCCGCTGCTCGTGCGCGCGGCGTCGCCGGCACGTCGCAGCTTCCGGCGACCAAGGCGTCGGCTGCGTCGGCCGCCGGCGGGCGCTCGGCAGGGCACAGGGAGAGGGGTGGGAGGCGGTGGAGGAGGAGCTGCATTGGTGGGGGAAGGATGGGGATTTCGAAGAGATGAAGGGGCTTTCAGTGGGATGCCTCAGGGAGCTCGGCGCGCCTTTCAGTTTCTCGTTTGCCGTTGAGGGCGAAGTGGGTGCTGACGGTCAACCGTCGGCCTTTGTCATCGCCAAGAGAACAAGTTTCTTGTCGGAGGAGCTGGTTGTGATATGTTGCTGCATCGAATTCACAATGTTCTTTCAGTGTTTCCTACTGGGTAAGAGCGTGGCGGCTGCTGCTTCTGCGCGTTTTATCTGCGCTGCCCGAGCCTCGATGTGTATATCATGGCTTCTGCATCGTGGGATCATCTTTCTCACCCGAGTGACCTTGACCCTCGGAGGTTCCTAATAGGACTGACCGCCTCTTTTTCCCTCTTCTTCTTCCTCCCCCACCTCCTGGCCAGCTGCAGGGTCACGATGCTCGCAGCGTCGGTGCTGGTTTTCTGCGGTGTGCATGATACCTCCCAAAGGCGTCCCTTTTGACGGCCTCAAGACCCAACGCCACAACCTCATGATCCCCGTGAGCCGCCCTGGCTAAATTACTCCTCTTCCCAATTAAGGCTTCGAGCCTCTGAGCTGAAGCGCATCGCGGTACTGGCGTGTACTGGTCGCGGTGGGCCTCTGGCGCCATGCGGTCAAGATGTTTAAGGCGAAGCGAAGCAAACAGGTAAAATTTTGAGTGCGTACCTCTCTCTCTCTCTCGCGCGCACGCGCATTCTCCATATCTCCGTGGGCCGCACGAATTCAGCGTGCCGCCCGGGGTGGACTGCCCCGAAGGCGCGACAGGTGCAACGCACGTTCATCGCCGTCGCAAGCGTGTCTTGTCCATCCTGGAGCAGGCGCTGTATCGCGGCCGCCATCTTCGGCTCCTCGAGGGCGTGGCGGCGAGGCCATCCCTGCGGAAGGTGCGGTGCCCTCGTCTGCACTCCTCCTCTGCCTGCTGCTCGGGTGGTCAGCAGTCGGAGGTAGATTCTTTGTTCTTGCCGAGAGAGGCAGGGACTCTGGCATCGCTCGTCCCTCCCCCGCTCCTCTCGCCTCTCCCGCTCCGCTGGGCCGTGCAGCTCTCGTCTCCCCGCTCTTTCTTCCTGGGTCGTTGCC